AGGCCCGTGGTCCTAATCATCCTCTATGTGGACCTGCTGGATAAAGCCACGAGGAACCCGAGAACGGGCTCCCACAAAGCATGTCATCAGAGAGCTGTAGAGAATTCTCTTTGCTGTAACATCCAACAGTTGGTTGAAGCAGTGTGTTTGAAACATGCCTTGATTAATGAGTCTCTTTGTTCTGTAACTATAAACATTCTCTGAAACCTTTACCGTGTCCTGAAATTGTGATCTGGGCTGTGGCATAGTTACTGTTGTTTTTCCCAGTGGAGTCATCCAAGCTCCTGTAATATCTCCCCTTGGTGTGTAAAAAACTCTTTGAGCTAGTAGGTTGTCATGCAGTATCTGGCTCCTGAATCCTTATTGGTAAAATAAAAGGATAATGATTAGTGAAAACTACAGGAAGGCTCTTCTAGTCTAAGACCTCACCATCAAGGCAGCAGCTGCAGCTGAAGAGGTGAAGTCATCAGCTGTGGTATCGATAGTATGAGGTGCAGCTGCTGTACCCCAGATAAAAACAACAGTGCCCATAGAGCAATAATGACAGACAAGTTATGAGAGCAACCAATCACTTTCTGATTGGATTAATGCTTATTCCACAAATTGTAACTGATGTGATATTAATTTGGTAATATACTTTTGCTTGGCTAGGTGCCCAAACAAATGGTGCCCAATGTGGTGGCAAGAGTTTCCACCTAAAAACTGAGAAAAAAGATTCTAAAATGGAGCTAAAAACAGTTCCTAATTGTCTCTCTCAAATGAGCGGCAGCTGCCGGTTTGAGCTACTGGTGGGTTCCTAGCGTGCGCACTCGACCTGCAGTATGGCGGGAATGAGGTCTCTACAAGTGGCACATTAAGCTGCGTGGTGGATTTAGCCTTTGCTAGTACAAAACAAAAAAAGAGGTTTCTGGGCTACAGGCTGCTTGGATAAAAGCATAGACCCACGATAGCTCCCAGAGCTGGAGGAAAACGTACCACTGCCATGTTGGGAAGCTGAGGTAGGTGGAGCCAGCAGCCACAGTTGCTGCAGTTTAAAACAATAGATTCACAATAAGAAAGATTCAGATGAAACAAGACTTTAAACGCTTTACAATATGTGTAAAATATACGTAGGCTTGAAAGACACAAAAAATGTGATATATACAGTTATATAAACAAATACATAGTTTTAAAAAATAAAGTCTTTAAAGAGACAGTAAAATTAATATAAAAAATAAGCCACATGAAGATGAATATTACACAGAGAATCTGGATTGTGTTGTCTTTGGGATTTTTTTTTTTTTTTTTTTTTGGTTTTTCGAGACAGGGTTTCTCTGTGTAGCTTTGCGCCTTTCCTGGAACTCACTTGGTAGTCCAGGCTGGCCTCGAACTCACAGAGATCCGCCTGGCTCTGCCTCCCGAGTGCTGGGATTAAAGGCGTGCGCCACCACCGCCCGGCGTCTTTGGGATTTTTAATTGCAGAAAAACATTTGATTGTAAAAGCTGTTGAGTTATGCCAAAATGTATATTTTAAGGGTACCTTGACTTCAAAATTTGGATCTAAGGATATGTTACTTTGGAAAGGAGACTCTGCTTTTGTTCCCACAGAAAGCCAGAGGCTATGGATTTGTTCCAGATTAAGCTACATCAGGTTTGACCAGCCAAGACCCCCTGAAAGGTCTCCGATGACACCATGGCCCAGATGATTCAACATCAAGAACAGTTTGAAGGCAATTGGCTCAGACAATACAGCCTCATGGACTATTCCATAATCCTAAAATTTTCTTTGTGTCCCCATAAGATACAGTGCCCCCCTCCAGCAGGGAGTAGTAAGAGAAGCTATGCCCAAATTCCCAAATTATATGTAATTTTAATTTGTTAAGGTTAAAACCTTCCTTTTTGGAAAAAAAAAAGAAAAGGGGAAGTGCTGTGGAATGGTCTGTATGTCAAGTGTGTTGCTGATTGGTCAATAAATAAATCACTGATTGGCCAGTGGCCAGGCAGGAAGTATAGGTGGGACAAGGAGGAGAATAAAGCTGGGAAGTGGAAGGCTGAGTGAGAGAGACACTGACAGCCGCCATGATGAGAAACAGCATGTGAAGATGCCGGTAAGCCACGAGCCATGTGGCAAGGTATAGATTAATGGAAATGGATTAATTTAAGCTGTAAGAACAGTTAGCAAGAAGCCTGCCACGGTCATACAGTTTGTAACCAATATAAGTCTCTGTGTTTACTTGATTGGGTCTGAGTGGCTGTGGGACTGGCGGGTGTCAGAGATTTGTCCTGACTGACTGTGGGCCAGTCAGGAAAACTCAAGCTACACAATACCACCTCATTTGTGCAGCACAAATCTTAAAAGGTCTCTTTAATGAAAATAAACCTGGAGCCAGGTATTGGGGGTGAATGCTGAAAGATCAGAGAAACAGAGCAAGCCACAGCTACCTCACTTTTCCACTTCCTCAGCTGATCCTGTTTCCTCAGACTGGATGCCTCTCAGCTGAACTGTGCTGGTCAAAAGCCTAAAAGCTTAACCAGCTCCAGTTCCTGGTCCTCTCTCCTTAAACACCTTTCTGCTTTCTGCCATTACTTCATGGAATTAAAAGCGTGAGTCACCATGCCTGGCTGTTTCCAGTGTGGCTTTGAACTCACAGAGGTCCTGATGGATCTCTGCCTCCAGAAGGCTAGGATTAAAGGTGTGAGTGCTAACATTTTCTGGCTTCTATGTCTGTCTAGTGGCTGTTCTGTTCTTGGACCCCAGCTAAATTTATTAGGGTGCATGATATCTTGGGGAACACAATATCACCACAGACTTGCCCCACACCTACTTAGTCACATTACACATTGAAGAGGAGTCATTGTCATGTGGCCCACTTGTGTCCCTAAGGTTTGGATAGGCAGGTCTCTTATGAGTGGTTATAGAAATGACTGTTTTGTCTTAAACAAATTAGAATCTGACACTATATTACAGAAATACAGTTCAAGTTACAGCCTTATTTATAAGAGTAATACATGCACAAGTACCCAAACTGAGAAAATTTCCACAGGAATTGACTGATATTGCAGAAAGTGGGAACTATATTGAGGCTACTGAACAATGCATTTCTATGTATCAGGATAAACAATACATAGAGTGCAGACAGAAATTGAGAGTGCAAACAAGATGGAGGGGTAATATGGAAAATGGTTTGTCCCACAGGCATTAAGACATGGTTGATGAACAGCAGAATCCATGTACATGGAAGAAGTTTATAGGGCTGAGAAGTATTCAAGAGAACATAAATGGAATCATGACAAGATGGACCAACTGGGGCCCAAGCATTCTACTGTATGAACCTATAGGTGCCTTTCTCATTCTAAACCACAGTGACTTTAAAGTTATAAACCATGTGAAATCAGCTGTAATTGTCAGAGAGATTAACTCCAATATGGACAAACCTGGCACTTCGTACTGACCGCACCTAAATGTGCTCTGAACCAAGAGCATATCCATGGAAGTCTCTGTCTTGTGGAAGTGCAATTTCATTTGCATGCTGAGAGACCACTGCAGGGGCTGATGCTCAAAACTGTACTTCTAGGAAAGTTTCTCCAGGGTCAGCACCCAAAGAAGAAGGAAACTGTGCGATGGGGCTGACACTGTCCCAAGACAGTAGAACATGACAGCACTGTCTACATTGTACTGGATGTGTAGACAGGAAGTGCACCCTGGAGGTCACCATGACTCTCTTCAGCACTATTAAAGAGAACAGCCTCACCATATGACTGGTCAGATGTTCAGTGCCCTCCTAACAGTTCCTGTGTGGTCACTCTCCATGGAACATGGTGATCGCTAAGTGGAATTGGAACTGCACCATATACTCATGACAGAACCATAGGAAACTGGACTGTTTAGACAGTGTGAGCTATCTGTGCTTCAGTCCTGAGTGAATGACCCAGGACCAGTGACCCTTCACTAGGGAGGTAAGCATGAGCTCCTGGCACACAGGTGGTGAATATGGACCTTAGTTTGTGAAAAACCATGGAGACACTGGTAAAATTCTAGTAGAGCTCTCACAAAAACTAAATGGCTTACAGAGATTACTAGGTGAAAGTTTTCAAGGGAATGAAGGACAGGTGGAAAACTCCAGACATGGATTATGGGAGATCTTTGCAAGTAAGTGTCAGAGAGGTGGACATTTAACTTTGTTCATTGATTACATCGTCTCTGTTTTCCTCATCAATACACTGTAGAGAGTCCAATGTTCTCACAAAACTGTTTCACAAGCTGTGGAGTCAGAATCAAGTATGGCTCACACAGAGTGTCAGTACAGAGGAACAGGATTATTTTTTATTGATTTATTATTTATTTATTTATTCGTAGGACAGCATATTCAGACAAAGCCGACTTTATATCAACTGCTTCAACATGTGTTTGTTTTGTTTTGTCTTCTTTTGACTTTCCCTTTTTAGTTAGATACAAGGTCTCTTTAAATTTCCCAGTCCAGGTTTGGCCTGTGGTGGCGCACTCCTTTAATGCCAGCCCTAGGAAGGCAGAGGGAGACAGATCTGTGAGTTCAAGGCCAGTGTGAGTTACAGAGAAATTTCTCAGTCCAGACTTTCACCTCTGGTCCATTTGTCAAGGAAACCGCAGAGCAGCTAGGAGCAAGGTCTGACAGATGGTTTCAAAACCATCTTTAAAAGGTACTTCTCATTCCCACATTAGTGTATTGCTTCATTAAAGTAAAACAGAGTCAACGGGATTTTTAAACCCTGTAGTAAGATTCAAATCACAAAATATGGGCCAGAAATTTTACTGGGCTAATATTCCCGTCAAAGGCTCGACTCACACTCATATTTCTTACGTTGTGGATCTGGAGGTGAACACCAGGCTCATGCCGCAGGGCTGTCCTGCTGACTGGGCTTCTTCCTCCAATACTCTCCTGCAGACAGCCAGAATCGAATCCACAATAGGAGAAAAGGCCACACCTGGGTTCCCACAATTCTTCCGCATAGACTTCTGGGAAATGTAGTCTGCGGCACTGTGACATCACGGTGAGCCATTCAGGAAATTCCCTTCTGGCCTTCAGTCTACACGTGAGCAGTTTACCCAAAGTTGGGCGCGAGTCCTGCCTGCTGTACGTTCCTGTTTCGTCTCTGACATGGAGGTTGGTCCAGGGTGCAGCGCAGCCTGAGGCACTGTTCAGGGTGCAGGGATCTGGGTTTGGTAAGAGAGCGGAAGAAGCTGCCTTGGAGGTGCTGTGCTGAACTGGCAGGGTCACGTGAGGTTGCAGGTCAGGGCTGGGGAGAGGGCGACAGGGATTGCATTCTGAGTGATTTTCTTAGGACGCCGCTTGCCACTTTGGGCTTCTAGGACAGGAGAGCTGCCTGGTAGCGCGGAGTAGATGTTAGTGCAAAGTCCAGGATTGCAAACTAATGCTGGTCAGCTGACTGCCTGCTCCTGAGGTGGAGCTGGGAGCTCAGTGAGCAGCTTTGGTGGGGAAGCATGCTTCTCTAGATGAGCCGTTCTCACGTGGACGCTGTCAGATTTCTCAGAATCTGTAGAGCAAACGGGTTTCTGGTCCTTCCTGAACTCTGCAGCCGCCTAATGTAACTGTCTTGAAGTCTTCATTATGATCTCTGCCAGTTAGAGAATTATAGAGAAAAATTTCGAGGTGAAACAAAGTTCACATGTGGGTAATTCTGGAACCAGTGGAAAAACTGCCAGAATCCGCTGCAATAAAAAAGCTTTCACTAGGGGTGAGAGAACACACATACAGCCTGTACAGAGAGAGAGGCATCTTCTGCAGGAAGAAGTGGTGCTGGCGAAGTTGTTTCTGGGTCTCAGTTTGAGGACTGGGTTTTCTTAACTTTGAAAGGTCTTCCATTCCTCCTGTAGGGTGGAGCACAGTGGTTGTGTCAACAGGTCTTAATCTGGCCTTGAAGTGTTGATCTAGTCCAGAAGCAGGGTCTCTAGGAACAGATGAAAAACTCACATGGCCTTGGGTTCCAGTGCCAGGCTTTTGTGTCACATCAGCGGGGTGAGGAAGAACTCACAGACTGTGTGTATTCATGTGATTTACAGTAAACAGACCTGTGATAGGAAAGAAACTCCAGTCTACTGTATTGCACATCCCTGTCATCTCTGCATTTGTGAGGGGGAGACAGGACCCTCTGGTCCTCCCCTGCTTCATAGCAAATTCAAGGGTGTCCGAAAACATTTAACTTCATGGTCATGAGAAATACTTTCTATGTTTCATTTCATGTTTCTTACAGTGAGCGCCATGACAAATCCATGCAATCAGCACATTGCTGACTTAAGAACTATTTATGGTTAACTTTTGTTGACACATTTCACCTGTAATTTAATGGTTTTTCACTAACATACTTTTTTTTTTGTTGAAGACATTAACTTTTGGAGATTAGATAATTGTTTGCCTTTACTGTGAGGAAGAATTCTCAATGCCCTGCTTAAATATTCCTGTTTGTAGTGATTGTTCATTCTTTTTGGATATTAATCTGTGTTTGTCACTGTCGTGACCTGATGCTGATTTCTTCTGGTTCACTGATTTCTTCCAGGTTGCTCCTTTCATATCTAATCTGAGACTCCATTATTTCTTTATTTCCATTCTGCAGTTCTTGACTGATGTGGCTGCTGTGGTTCCATTCCTGGGTCTTTTTCTGCAGCTGCAGCTGGGATGCCTTCCCCTGTCCTTACTCCAGAGGTTCCACTGTGTGCAGATGCTTCTTACAGTGAGCCAGAACAAAACCACTTCCTCCCTGTCCTTCACATGGGCACTGCCATATCCAACCAGTAAAGCCAAGTGCTAATGCTGGTTCTTGCTCTTCACAGGTCCAGTCCAGTTCCCCTTGTTGAGCAGTCCTGTCTCTTTCCTCCCAGGCTTCTTTCATTGTGTTCTAATGTCAGTGTGAGGGAGGGAGTTCCTTGTGTTTACAACGCATGCATGAACCTTGCTGTGTTAGACATGTCATATCTGGAAAACTCTGGAGGGGAGGTGTGCTGGGTGAGGACATTCAGTTCCTACTGATTGATGTATATAACTGTGTCATAGGCCGTGGAGAGACATTGCAAGGTTTGAACAGGGATCAAACACATATGCCAGGAATAAACCTGAGCAGCACAGATTTTCATTACATTGTCAATTCAGGTTATAAAAGTGGCTGCCATAGTGTCCTCCATAGTCATTATCAAATGCAGCAGCATGTTTTGATTGAAATGTGTATGTGGTTCCATGACTATCGTTTTGAATATCTGCATTTCTTTGTTCTCTTCTTTGCACTCTCTATATGAAATTAAGTCAAACGTATGAGTGTGCATGTCCCAAATCTTTATGGGTTGCACTCCACCACTGGTACTTTAAGAGACTCAGAAGCAATAGATGGATTGTTAAAATCCACTAATACAGCTCGACATCTAATGTAATAGGCAAAGCTTTCGATAGTATTTTGAAATTTAAATTATGAATATGTAATTCATGTTTCCAGAGCAGATAGTACATTTGGTCTCCCATATTTTTCATGGTTTATTCCACTTTCTGAGTCAATATATTGCAGTACATGATGGATTAAACAAGAAATTGATGCCTCTTTCATGCCACATGTATGCAAGCATAGAGCCTGGATGGAGATCTAGGAGTTGGTACTTGATGATGTGTGTAATATGTATTTTAAGCACTATGTCCTTTGATCAGGACATAGGCTGCTCTGAATGGAAGGTCACTACTGTTAGGAACCTGATCAGGAATCCAGTCCTCCCTTTGCATCTGGATTGGACTTCCCACCAATCTTCAGTTTTGTCTGATTCTCTGTAAAGGTGTCTCTGAGGATACTGACAGGAGATGCAGCCGTTCTTAATGTATCAACTCTGTCCATTCTGTTGTTCTAGGCTTGACACTAGGACCAGTCTCTGTTCTCTTTATATTATATATATTTATATTAATACATTATTGCTATTAATATCTTAATATTGTTAATGGTTTTAATTAAACTAAAGTGCAGTATCATTCATTGATCTTTGTTTCAGGAAATGCTGTCCTTCTGGGATGTGGCCATTGAGTTCTCTGCAGAAGAGAGGGACTGCCTGGAGCCTGCTCAGTGGAATTTGTACAGGGATGTGATGTTGGAGAATTTCAGCAACCTTGTGTTCCTTGGTGAGGATCTCATCCACAGTGAATTCTTATTTCACCATCAACATGTAGCTTCCTCACTTTGTATGGTATCTCATGGGAGCATTTCAACAGCCTTTTTCATATCCTTTGTTTTCAGAAAAATTTGCGCACGCCTTTAATCCCAGCACTCGGGAGGCAGAGCCAGGTGGATCTCTGTGAGTTCGAGGCCAGCCTGGTCTACCAAGTGAGTTCCAGGAAAGGCGCAAAGCTACACAGAGAAACCCTGTCTCGAAGAACCAAAAAAAAAAAAATCATTTCAGGACTGGTGAGATGGCTCAGTTGTTAAGAGCATTGACTGCTCTTCTAGAGGATCGGGGTTCAATTCCTGTCACCCATATGACAGCTCACAACTGTCTGTAATCCCAATATGTGACACCCTCATGTTGTGTGATATTTTTATTGTGTTCTGACAAATAAAGCTTGCCTGGAGTCAGAGGGTGATGCTAGCCACTGGCTGACCATAGACGTTCAGAGGCTTGTACGACGATGGACTGGAAGTTCCAAGTAAAAGAACACATAAACAGTCTTGTTCCTTTTTTGGACAATCAGGTCTTGCTGTGTCTAAGCCACACCTGGTGACATTTCTGGAGCAAAGACAAGAATCTTCAGATGTGAAGGGACAAACAGCAGCCAACGTGCACCAAGGTATGTACGAATGAGGGGTTTGGGGGAGGAGTTGAGGTCCAAATATCCAACAGAAAGATAGGCTTTCCCATTACCCTAAAACATGATACTGTGGGAATAATTCTTTAGGTCTCTCTTATATGTCTTTGTTGTCAAAGCTCATCTCTCAGAGGTTTATGATGGTTTAACTCTCTTAAGCTTTGTATTTCCCCAATATTGAGCTGTGCTTCTATTGACAGTGACTTCCAAGGTTTTTCTTTTCGTTGATTCTCCATTGTAGTGTAAGACTCAGGGAGAGAGAACTCAGTGCTGGTGAGACTGAGAGTCATTTAGTTTTAAAGCTTGAGAGCAGTTTCATGCCAGAAAGATCTCTACAACAAAATGAACATGATTAGGTTTATTAAAGCCACATCCAAAATTCAATCACTGAGAGGCAGTGAGTGACAGAAGGCTCAATAGTTTTGTTGATTAGAACAATTTGGGTCTGGGGAGCAGTTGGATAAAACTAAGACAAACCGGAGTCACTTTGGACAGTTCATTCCCCACTGATCTTAGGGAAGAGTCAGAGCACTAATACACTGTAGAAGGCATTATATGGGGCCATTAGAGGCTGTTTTGTTTTTTTCAACTCTTTTACCATCAGTTGGGTCCACAGGGCCTGACCATTAGTCCTGGGAAGAGTAGCACAGGATGAGCCGCAAGGCCTTGCACTGTTAATTCAGGGATGCCCATCCAACCAGTTATGGGTACAGTGATTGCGTGCCTCTCTTTCATGGCAATTAGTAGATGTAGGCCTTTAGGTGAGTTGTAAGGCTCCATGGTTTGTTGAGTCCTGTTTTGTTTTTTCAAGTTAATATATGTATCATGTATTAGGTCTAACGGTTATTTGGACATATTCCCAGTCACAACTTGTTAAAGAAGTTAGAAACTTTTATGTATAAATCTGATCACAGATATATCAGAGCTAGTAAAATGTTTTGTTTATGGGGGCTGGAGAGACGGCTCAGAGGTTAAGAGCACTGACTGCTCCTCCAGAGGTCCTGAGTTCAAGTCCCAGCAACCACATGGTGGCTCACAACCATCTGTAATGAGATCTGGCGCCCTCTTCTGTATACATAATAAATAAATAAATCTTTAAAAAAAAAAAAAAAAAAAAAGAAAATGTTTTGTTTAAGATCCAGTGAGGGTAGCTACTATGGCTAGCTCTATAGGAAGCATTATAGCTAATATTACCATGAGTTCAATGGGTTGAAGGGATCTTGTGGTCCTTTCTTCTCAAGGTTTTCTGTTGATTCTCAAACTTCCTCCAACTGTATATTTTCACTGGCTTCCAGATTTTTAATGTGAGCAGGGCTGAGGAATGTAGGCAGAGTTTTTTTTTCAGGACCATGATCAGCTCTGTCTGCCAGCAGCTCCCAAATAACCACTCAGAGACTTAATATTAACTATAAATGCTCAGTCGATAGCTCAGGCTAATTAATAATAGCTCTTACATTTTAAATTAACCTATATTCCTAATTTATGTGCTTTCATGTGGCAGTACTTTTTCTCTATATGGCATGTTTATATCTTTCTCTCCTGCATGCTGATTTCTTCTCTGCCTATGCCCTTCCTCTTCCCATTATTCTCTCTGCCCAGAAAATCCTCTGTAGCCATAGGCCACTCAGCTTTTTTTTTTTTTTTTTTGGTTTTTCGAGACAGGGTTTCTCTGTGTAGCTTTGTGCCTTTTCCTGGAACTCACTTGGTAGTCCAGGCTGGCCTCGAACTCAGAGAGATCCGCCTGGCTCTGCCTCCCGAGTGCTGGGATTAAAGGCGTGCGCCACCACCACCCGGCTCAGCTTTTTATTAACAATGAAAGCAACACATCTTCACAGTGTGCAAACGGATTATTCCACAGCTTTTCTCCCTTTTTGTCTAAATAAAAAGGGAGATTTTAATTTTAACGTAATAAAACTGTATATAACAAAAACACTTGTCATGTAATCATCATAGTTACAATATCCAGTTACAATATTCATTTGTATTTGGCAAATTTAGAGAATATATTTTATTATCTATTTTATCTTTGTGAGTCAAAAGTTTTATATCTAATTTACCTTTCATTATAACTAAGGAAAAAGTTAAGTCTAATTATTTAGTTTTAACTCTATCAAAGACCCCAGCAGGGTGAAATGTTACCCAGACAGGGACATCTGGCTTCCTGGACAGTCACTCAAAGTTCTTCTGTAACATTGGGGCATCTTCTTTGGCCAAAAAGCCTAAAATAATTGACAGACATTTTTGAGAAGCAGGAATTTTGAAGGACTGTCTGACCTTTTCTTGGGAAAGTTTGACAGTCACTGTTTTTGTGTCCTGTGGGTGCAGTTTGGACAATATACTGTCATCAGTTGAGGCAAGGGCATTTAGGGTGGATTCTAATTGGTCTTAATAATAAAAATCCAAGTCAGATATTGGGGTCAATGCTGAAAGATCAGAGAAGTAAAGGAGCCAGCCACTAGAGAGACTTCTTACTTCTTCGAGATCCTCAGGCAGAAGGGGACTGAGCTCTTATCTAAGCTGGTCTTATCACTTCCTCTCTCTTCCCAGCCATATCACTTCCTGTTTCCTCATCCAAAGTGCTAGGATTAAAGGCGTGTGCCACCACTGCCTGGCCTCTATGGTTAACTAGTGGCTAGCTCTGCCCTCTGATCTTCAGGCAAGCTTTATATGTTCAAGCACAAACAAAATATCACCACAAGGGCAGTTTCTTTGTCTAAATGGGTAGCTTGTGCCATAAAGAAAGGAACCTCCATATGTAGTTTCTTCAGTGTACATCATCTTCTTTGAAGTAAATTGGTGCTGTCATGAGCAGACATGTCTTGCTTTCAAGAAAAACTTGTTATTAAAACATTTCAAATGCCATATTCTGTAGGTCTTTGAAGTGCTTAAAGGCTATCTACCTAAATATATCTGTTTATGACCTTGAAAACATAGCTAACATGACTATAATTTTGATTATTATAGGTGACTAACTACTAACCTGTATTTTTAATTATACATTAAATTTTTAAATGAGCTGCATAAACACAATACCTTAAACAAGAATAGAAATATACATAGTATAACAAAATTAACTTCAAATTTATATCAATAAACCAAAATCTATACCAATGTGAAATATTTTGAGAGTACTAGTTGTCTTTTGGCTTAAAGTAGATTCAATAATTTACCCTTTTATCTCATCATTTCTATCTCATACCCCCTTTTTCCTTTAGAAAGAGATCTTTAAATTTAACTCTTTTGTTTAGCCTTTTTTTTTAAATTGAGACGAATTAAATCTTGTAACCAACTCCCCTTCAATGATGATAAACACCCATAACCCATGTTTTAGGAATGTGGGAGTCATTCTCTGGACTACTTCCTGCTATGTGTGTGTGCTAGTATCTTTGGGGAAGCCTTGAGAAAAATCCAGATAATTGTTAGGCCTTGGCTGGTATAGTCTGTGAGGCTGGATCATCTCAGCCAGCAGCCTTGAAACTGTCTTCGATGTAGATGAGGAAACTGCAGTAGAGGTGCACTGAGATATTTGGATCATCTGGGCCATCCATTTTTATTGGTGTCTGGTCTCCTTGTTCTGAAAATACATAAACTTTTAAAGGTATCTTACTTATCTGTGTTAATACAAGTATAGACTGTGTGTTATACACAAGTTAGCCAAAGATGCTTTTTTGTTTTATATTTGAGCAAGTAAAAGATATATCATGTCTTTTGTAGTTTTTCTAGGTTTATTTCTTTATGCTTGTAACCAGGATTTTTCAGGGTTTCTTCCTCGATCAAACCTGATCCATATCAACATGGAATGAATCCACAGCCTCTCATTTCCTGTGGAAATAAAAGCATAACCTCTCTCCCAAAGTAACATTTTTTTTTTTAAAGTCAAGACATTTTAAAAATATACAGGTTGGTTTAATCCAGCAGCAGTTTTCATAATCCAATGTGTCTTAGCAGCTGCTAATCCTTCATTAGCAATCAAAACATCCAAACACAACGCAACAACATACAGAATCCAGACTGTATTCCCCATCTTTATGTGGCTTTTTTTCTTTTATATTAGCAAAATCCTAAACACACCACACAGTGTACTTGTGGAGCTCACACTGGGGGTTCAAATCTCTACACACAGCTACTAGGAGATGCATCTCTGTACTGCAGCCCACAAGAGAACTCGAGACTAGCATGCCACATTTGGCTCCATTTTTGCCTGTGTAGAACCTTTTTTAAGCTTGTTCAGGTGTCGTGTGGATGGATGTGCACCCTGTTCAAATGCCATTTATAGATAGAGTTTTCCTGTCCCAGTAGCTGCTCCAAAATAACCAAAACAAAGACTTAATATTCATTATAAAGCTTAGCCAATACCTTAGGCTCATCTTTAGCTAGCTCTTACATTCAAAATGAACTGATATTTCTTATCTAACCTTTGCCACACGGTGGTAACTTCTTTCAACACAGTATATTCATCTTGTTTCTGCATCTGCTGGCAACTCCTCTTCCTCTACCCTTCTTCCCAGCATTCACCCTGCCCAGAAATCCTGCCTAGCCATCAGCCAATCAGCTTTTTCTTAACAATGAGAGTAATACATATTCATATTGTATAAAGAGATTATTCCACAGCAGAGGAGCTGGTCCCAGATGTCTCTGGAAGGTAATTCAGAATTAGTGCTCTGGGTGAACTTTCACATCCACCTCACCTCCTCCTCAGGCCATATTACTTTCTTTACCTGATGTGGTGGGTCCACACATGGCACAAGCAGCTTAGTTTAAATGAGTGCCACAGTTCATCCTGCTGTGCTGACTGGCCCTGTGACAGAGCCTCTGTCATATGTTATCTACCACTTTGCTGAGGACTCCTTCCACAATCAGACATGGACAGCTCAGCTCTGGGGTTAGCTTTGTTAGGAGGAGGAATGAAAGCTAGGGGTCAGGGCATGGCAGTTTTAACTAGCATGTAGTTCACATACCATTTGGGTAGCAGGCATAGGTACTAGGTTCTCCTGTATATAAGATCCTCAACTATCAGTTCAGGAGACATGGAGTACAGAAAAATTACAATGAGTGTTTCCATTGCTTGGCACATTTAGAATGTAGTGCAGAATCTAAGATCCTCCTCAGCATGAGAGAATCCACCCACTGTCTTATGTGACCTGAGGAGTGATTCATCTTCCCTACAGATAAGGAATAGGATTTCCTGGTCTGGCTAACAGGCCAGAGGGAGACAGGAACAGCAGACACTGACAAGTCCTATTCCCCATGCATCCTTATTCTGTATCGAAACTAGAATGCCATTAATTTCAGTAGGACTCTGTTCCATTGACGGTAAGTGTGGTATTTGATTCTGGTTGTGTCCTGCCATTCAAGTGTAGTGTAGATTGAATTCTTTTTACTCAAGCATTCAAGCATTCAATTTTAATGACCAGTTTTCTGTTTTTGTTTTGTTTTGTTGTTCTTGTTTTTTTGTTTGTTTGTTTTTCAAGACAGGGTTTCTGTATAGCCCTGGCTATCCTGGAGCTGGTTTTGTAGACCAGGCTGGCACCAAACTCAAAAGGATCTTTCTGTCCCTGCTCCTGAGTGCTGGGATTAAAGGTGTATGTCACCACTTCTGGCCCAATAACCAGTTACTTTAAGTACATCTGATTTTAATATTATTCCATAGTAAGGAAAAAAGAAGATGAACTTAAATTCATTTCAGTTACCTGCTTTAGGCTTAACTTTGATGACATGTACAGAGGACTGGATAATGGAAGGTAGAAAATTTTCTCTCCCTCTAATATTGTGTTTGTAAATGAATTATATTTGTATTTAGCATGAATGTGAATATAACTCTGGGCACACTAAGTATATCCCACCATTCATTAGGTCATTTACCATTAACTATTGTGTCTTAGTTACCTTTGTTGTAACAGTTTACAATAAAATAATGACTCTCATCAGTAAGACTTGATAAACAAAGTAATTTATATCTGTTAAAAATTTCACACTCTAAAATTATGATTGTTGAACTGAAAACCTTTTATACCAAAACAAAATTTAGACATAAATACGTTCCATGGAGGAACTGGGAACTTCAGTCTCCTGATCCCTTTATAGTGTACTGTATAAAATCTAAGTCAGTCCTGTAGACCTTCTACATTAAGTAGCTTCTTTTATAATAGAGAATACCATAAGGGGGAGCTCAGTGCCAGGGATGAGCAGGTTGAAGAGGAATAGACTTGGAGTTTCCAGACCCACTAATACAGCCTCAGAAAGGATGTTGGCACTGCCCATGGAGGACAGGCAGGAGGACAGAGGAACCCCACAGCGTCCAGTAGCCTTGAATCCACAGTGAGCTCAGAGAGTGGCTGACTCTGTTCCACAAGGAGGGTCAGGAAAGGTGACAAAGTGTAAGGCCCAGAACAAGAGCAGAGCGAGCACAGATGGAGTGGACTCCTTCACAGTCACTCCTTCAGCATCCACAGAGATGACAGAAGGGGTGGATTTAACTGAGTTTTATCCATTACCTCTTCAGTCAACATCTTGGCTCTTAGAAGTAGGCCCTCGGGAGGCAGAGCCAGGCGGATCTCTGTGAGTTCGAGGCCAGCCTGGTCTACAGAACGAGATCTAGGACAAGCACCAAAGCCACACAGAGAAACCCTATCTTGAAAAACCAAAAAAAAAAAAAAAGAAATAGCCCTAGGGAAGGGCTCCCTGTCAGGTTTTTTACCAGAATCTGGACCGGAAAAAATACCCACACCTACCCCATTGGAGGACCAGAAGGTTGAGCTATAAATTTAATCTTTTTGTGGACCATCTACTTCTTGTGCAGCATATCTTTTGTACCTTCTAAAATAAAACTCTACATGGAGGATAAAAAAATTTGCATTTAGGTGATGACTCAAATTCACACATTCACAATTAACTTTCTCTTTTCTAGGCTTGGCTACTTTATAATTTTAGGGTTGTCTGGCTATATAACATATCTTGTTTAACGGGTTTATTTTTTGTAAAATGCCTTTATAACTTACTTAGCTATTAAACTGTGAATAATATGCTATTATGTCTGTGTTCTATTTGGTTGTGTACTTATTCTAGTAGAAGTATACATTATTTCTACCTATAATATTTTATCATTCATGCTCAGTGTCTATAGGGCTTGAAATATACTGTAGTTTCTCACTGATACTTCAATATGTATGAGTAAGTGTTTCCTTTTTAAAAGGTAAGTATTGTAAGTATGAAGAATATTTTCTAACCTTTGTTCATATCTCTACTTTTACTCAACAGGAACAACACCCAATGATTATAACATTTACAAAAAGGCCATTGATTGTAACTCACCGTATATTCCACACCAGAGAATTCATACAAGGGAGAAACCCTACAAGTGTGAAGAGTGTGGTAAGGGTCTTAGTTCTCATAAAACACTTTCCATACACAAGAGACTTCATACTGGAGAAAAATCCTACACGTGTAAAGAATGTCATAAGGCCTTCAATACTCGCGCATCACTTTTTATACACCAGAAAAATCATACTGATGAAAAATCTTACAAGTGTGAAGAATGTGGTAAATCATTTTACTATCCTTCAATGCTGAAGCAACATCAAAGAATTCATTCTGGAGAGAAGCCCTATAAGTGTGAAAAATGTGGCAAAGCTTTTTATGATCCTTCATTCCTGAAACAACATCAAAGGATTCATTGTGGAGAGAAACCCTACAAGTGTGAAGAATGTGGCAAAGCTTTTTATGAATCATCATTCCTTCAGGTACATCAACGAATTCATACTGCAGAGAAACCCTACAGGTGTGAAGAGTGTGGCAAGTGTTTTTGTTCATCTTCATCTCTTAGAGGACATCAAACAATCCATTCTGAAAACAATCCGTACAAGTGTGAAGAGTGTGGCAAAAGGTTTTCTTACTTTGCACACCTCAAACAACATCAGACAGTCCATACTGGAGAGAAATCATACAAGTGTGAGGAGTGTGGTAAGTGCTTTTCCTTATCTTCATCCCTTAGACGACATCAAACAATTCACTGTGAAGACAATCCTTACAAGTGTGAAGAGTGTGGCAGATGTTTTTACTCATCTTTATCCCTTAGAAGACATCAAATAATCCATTCTGAAGACAATCCTTATACCTGTTTACAATGTGGCAAACGGTTTTCCTATTCTAGAAGTCTTCAAGAACATCAAACAGTTCATACTGGAGAGAAACTATACAAATGTGAGGAATGTAACAAAGCCTTTCGTTACCACTCAGGCCTTAGGAAACACAAGAGAGTTCATACTGGAGAGAAACTATACACGTGTGAAGAGTGTGATGATGTTTTTCCTCATCTTCATCCCTTAGATGACATAAAAAGGAAAAAAGAAAACTCATTCTGAAGAGAATCTCTAAAAGTGGGCGGAATGTGATAAAGACTTTGCTAATTTTTGTATCCTTACTCAACATATGATATAGTTCATACAGGAGAGAAATCCTGCAAACGTTCTAAAAATTTTATCTCTTCAACCCTTAAAATACATTAAATGATTCATTCTGACTGCAAACTCCATGAGTGTGTGAAGTGTGGTTAAAGTCTTTGCTAAGAATTCAGGTCTTATCCAACTTTAATGACTCCATAGTGGAGAATATTAGGTTAATTATTTAGAATGTCAACAGGAACCTCTAACTTCCAAGAGCACAAACACTAAGCTTGTCATCAGAGAAGAGTAGACTTCTCTTTGCTGTGACCTCCAACAGTGTGTTCTAGCAGTGTGTTTGAAACTTGCCTTGACTAATGAGTCTCTTTCTTCTGCAACTATAAATGTTCCCTGAAACCTTTACCACGTTAACTTTCTCCATTGGGTACCTGGAGTCTGAGATCTGGGCTGTGGCATAGTTACTGTTGTTTTTCCCAGTGGAGTCATCCAAGCTCCTCTAGTATCTCCCCTTGGTGTGTAAGAATCTCTGTCTCTCTGAGCTAGCAGGTTTTCACCCAGCATCTGGCTCCAGAATCCTTATTGGTAAAATAGAAGGATAATTGCTGTGGGATGTTCTGTATGGCAAATGTGTTGCTAATTAGTCAATAAATAAAACACTGATTGGCCATTGGCTAGGCAGGAAGTGTAGGCGGGACAAGGAGGAGAATAAAGCTGGGAAGTGGAAGGCTGAATCAGAGAGACACTGCCAGCCGCCACGATGACAAACAGCATGTGAAGATGCCAGTAAGCCACGAGCCATGTGGCAAGGTATAGATTAATGGAAATGGATTAATTTAAGCTGTAAGAACAGTTAGCAAGAAGCCTGCCTCGGCCATACAGTTTGTAACCAATATAAGTCTCTGTGTTTACTTGGTTGGGTCTGAGGGGATGTGGGACTGGCAGGTGATAGAGATTTATCCTGACTGTGGGCCAGGCAGGAAAACTTAAGCTACAAATGGCGTCCAACGTGGTGGCAAGAGTTTCCACCTAAAACCTGAGAAAAAACATTCTAAAACGGAGCTAAAAACAGTTTCTAATTGTCTCTCTCAAATGAGCGGCAGCTGCCAGTTTGAGCTACTTGTGGGTTCCTAGTGTGTGCGCTCGACCTGCAGTATGGCGGGAATGAGGCCTCTGCAAGTGGCACATTAAGCTGCATGGTGGATTTAGACTTTGCTAGTACAAAACAAAAAAAAGAGGTTTTTGGACTACACGCTGCTTGGCTAAAAGCATAGACCCATGATAGCTCCCAGAGCTGGTGGAAAAGGTAACACCACCATGTTGGGAAGCTAAGGTGGGTGGAGCCAGCAGCCACAGCTGCTGCAGTTTAAGGCAATAGATTCACAATAAGACAGATTCAGATGTAATAGTTTACAATGTGTGTAAAAGATACGTAGGCTTGAAAGAGACAAAAAAGATGATATATAGAGTTATAGAAACAAATACATAGTTTTAAAACATAAAGTCTTTAAAGAGACAGTAAAGGTAGTATAAAAAATAAGCCACGTAAAAATGGATATTACACAGAGAATCTGCATTGTGTTGTCTTTGGGACTTTTAGCTGCAGAAAAACATTTGATTGTAAAAGCTGTTGAGTTATGCCAAAATGTATATTTTAAAGGTACCTTGACTTCAAAATTTGAATATAAGGATATGTTGCTTTGGAAAGGAGACTCTGCTTTTGTTCCCACAGAAAGCCAGAGGCTATGGATTTGTTCCAGATTAAGATACATCAGGTTTGACCAGCCAAGACCCCCTGAAAGGTCTCCGATGACACCATGGCCCAGATGATTCAACATCCAGAATGGTTTCAAGGCAACTGGCTCAGACGATACACCCTCATGGACTATTCCATAATCCTAAAATTTTCTTTGTATCCCCATAAGATACAGCGCCCCCCTCCAGCAGGAAGTAGTAAGAGAAGCTACACCCAAATTCCCAAATTATATGTAATTTTACTTTGTTACCGTTAAAACCTTCCTTTTTGGAAAAAAAAAGGGGGAAGTGCTGTGGGATGTTCTGTATGGCAAATGTGTTGCTAATTAGTCAATAAATAAAACACTGATTGGCCATTGGCTAGGCAGGAAGTGTAGGCGGGACAAGGAGGAGAATAAAACTGGGAAGTGGAAGGCTGAGTCAGAGAGACACTGCCAGCCGCCATGATGACAAACAGCATGTGAAGATGCCGGTAAGCCACGAGCCATGTGGCAAGGTATAGATTAATGGAAATGGATTAATTTAAGCTGTAAGAACAGTTAGCAAGAAGTCTGCCTCGACCATACAGTTTGTAACCAATATAAGTCTCTGTGTTTACTTGGTTGGGTCTGAGGGGATGTGGGACTGGCAGGTGATAGAGATTTATCCTGACTGTGGGCCAGGCAGGAAAACTTAAGCTACAGATAATGACTTAGTTAAAACTGTGAGAGAGCCCTTCTAGTCTAAGGCCTCAGCATCAAGGCAGCAGCTGCAGCTGCAGAGACGCAGTCATCAGCTGAGGCAGAGATGGCATCAGGTGCAGCTGCTGTGCCTCATAAAAAACAACAGTGCCCATAGAGCAATAATGGCAGGAAAGTTATGAGAGCAACCAATCTCTTTATGATTGGATTTAAAGCTCATTCCACAAACGGTAGTTGGTGCAATGTTAATTTGAAGATATCCTTTTGTGTGGCTAGGTGATAAGCCCTAGGGAGAATTGAATGCTGTTATTCTAATAAGTGGATCCTAACTAAATGAACCCAAGTTCTCATATTTATACCCACAAAGTCAACACCCACTAGAAAATATTAATTATGTGGTGGATGGAGAATAATGCACAGATGCACATTGGTCGAAGTATAGAGAATATTAGCCTGTGGAAGGCCCTGATCTAAATGTGACACCTGTGTCACACATTGTAAAAGAGGTCCCTTATGTACATCTAAAGCCAAAAGTCAGGGATTCCTGAGGGAAAAGAGAAAGACTGTCAGAGCCAGATACGTAGATGTCTGCAGTGTAACAGTAGGAATGTTGAAACATTTCTAGAACAGTGAAACATTGATAGAAATGTCAGCCGCATTTCATGCATGAACAGACTGTGGCTCTTACTACCTGGACAACACTTGCACAGACTAAACCCCAAGAGGAGCTTTTGGTAATTGATGGCTCCTGAGGGAGATAGTCATTCTGAGAGTCTTCCAGGTTCCAGTCAACTGTCCTATACCCCTACACATGGGGGGAGCACTAAGTGGAATGAAGGAAATAACAAAGAAAAAGCCCACTAAATTGGGAGAAAAAAGTGTTTTTAAGGGTAAAAAGCAATAGGTGAAGGAATGTGGAGATTTGAATAAAACATTAAATTCTCCCAAAATAAATACCATTTAAACCTTGTTAATTTTGGATATGTCCAAACTTGACATGTTTTGGCAGTGATTACAACCAATGAATCTGGCGGTCATAAAATTTACCGAAGGTCAGCCTCCTACTGGAAAGGTACCATGTGGGATCAAGTGAGTGGATTCCCAGAAGGGATCAGCAGCTGAGCACTAAGAAGCCCTTCAGCAATGTAACCTCAGTGAAGAGTCAGGGATGGCTTTACCAAGATGAGATGTGGCCAGACTCACCCTGTATTTTCCACTTGGCTTTGCCATGAGTACCACAGAGGAAGAATGAACAATGGTCTCCCCACCCTCCTTTACCTCCCTCCCACATCTACAGTGATCACAGCTGTTGTTGTTCCTGGTTATCCATCATTACAAAAGTTAGGGAAGGAATGTAACAGTCAAATGAAGACAGCATAACACATCTATCATTGAGTTTCATTAAAAACATTTTTTTAATATGTAAACAAATGCACATTAGAGGAAACAGAAATGAATAAGCCTCTAGATTACATGGCAAAGAGACTCTTTTTCTGGCTTTAATTTCCATCATAGATATAACAAAGAGAGGTTGCTATATTGGATGGCTCAGTTTTTTAAAAATGTGGTCAGCAATACACCTTGAACAAAGGTTGGGTTTGCTAGGTGTATGTGAGTCAATGTTTTCTTCCTCCTTGGAGTCTCTGTAGACCTAGTTATTAATTTACTCAGAACACAAGAAGGACATTTCCTTATGAATAGAAATTACCTTAATGGATATACATTTCTTCTACAAAAGAATGATTTCTTAGAGCTACAGTCTGTGGGGGAAAGTTCAAGGGACCAGCTTATGTGAGAAATATAACAAAGACACTCTCAGGAGTAGACATTTTAGCAGACACTCTCAAGCTCAGGAGTAAATAATATAGCAAAGGCTCACACTGTCAAGAGTAGATAGTATAGCAGAGACAGATACACTCAGGAGTAAATATTATAGCAGAATCATATATTCCCAGGATTAAGCAGTATAGCAGAGACTCATAATCTCACTTGACATCCCTCATTTCTCTTTAATTTTAAGCTCCATTATTTTAAAAGTAAAAAAAAAAAAATCACATGTGAAAATTAACAAGACCTGGAAACTACAGTGTTGTGAAATATTTTTTGCTCTTAAGATGACTTTCATTTGTTTATGCTGTGGAGTATTATTTTTTCTTCTTTTCGTGGAATAGTATTTTAACTGTGTAAAGGTATGATACATTTGTTACTGCTTCCTTGGCTAAGGATGAAAAGATGTGTTGAATTTGTTTCACCTTGCCTGCCTAAGGCACTCAAACTGGCTAATAAAAAACTGAACAGCCAATATCTAGGCAGGAGAGGGATAGGTGAGGCTTGCAGGCAGAGAGAATAAATTGGAGGAGAAATCTGGGCTGTAGGAAAAGGAAAAGCGAACAAGACACAGAGGAACATTTTGGGGCCAGAAGCCAGGCAGCCATGGAAACAGCAGAAAAGCAAGTTATTACACACACACAAAAAAGAACGGTGAGGCAAAATATAGATGAAGAGAAACATTAAGTTATAAGAGCCAGCAAGAAACAAGCCTAATAATAAGTCTCTGTGTCATAATATGGGAGCTGGTTGGTGGCCTGAGAGAAAGCCTGTTACACTACAGAGACCATGAACTTCTGTACAGTTGGAATGGACATTCAGAACAGAATCTGAGGCATTCACATTGGATTTGACACTGCACCGAATATATTTTATGCACTTACACACCATGAAAACTAAAACCCATGACAGAGTTGGAACCTGAAAACCAGTTATGTTTTGTCCTCTTTCACAACCCATGGTCATTGCCTACTTTAAATCCTTCCTCATTCCCTAATATTTAACATTTATTCTCTTCTACTTTACATACTGTACACACATACATATCTCTTCACATATGTACTTATTTTATTATCTAGATTAAGCATGAAGGTAAACATGTAGTGTATTTCTTTATATGATTGAGTGACCTCAACTTATACA